ATTGACCAAGATTCCTATTTAAATGTAAAGATGGAGGAAGAACAAGTAAAAGACACCATGGTAATGTGGGCAAAAGAATTTTGGACGTACTACGGCATTCGAAGAGTGACAAAAACAATGGAAAAGAAATGTTAAATTAACGAAAGCCGGGCCATATAAAGAAAACGTATACGAAATGCGTTACAGGTGGCGCATGACACCAGTGAGACAAGCGGAAATGTTTAAAAATGCTTCAAAGAATGGTTGGAAATGGAAAGAAAGGCCAGCTACTTATTACCCCCATCTAAAAAGCAACATTACTAAATTTCGTTTTTGATGTCTGCCCTTATGCCCACAGTAAAAAAAAAAAAAACGACAATAAAGGTTATCTAAAAACGTATTGTGGGCTAAAAGACATCTACAGCTGGAAAAGATGACTAAAAAAACAACAAATAAGGCTTCAAAGCAGAATTGTTTTTGTGAGGAATAATAGGAGCTAATTATGAGAAAGATTGCGGGTATCTAATACTACAACGTCTTACCGGCAGCCAGAATTGTATTTGCGCAATATTGGAAAAAAATGAAAACTTTACCAACTGAACTAGTACTAATTAATAAGAGATGGAATAGATGTCAAAATATTAGAATGTTATTCTTGGAATGATATGTGTGCTGTAGAAGGGCTAGCCAAAATTGTATTACTATGTTTAATATTAATTGGAATATTTTAATTGAAATTAGTGGAGCTTAAAAGCAGGAGTGATGGTGGTAGATGTAATAGTAGGGGATGATTCTGTGGATTGATTGAATTTTTAAAGAAGAAATAGATTAAACGAAATTTGTTATATCGTGAGGAAATAGAGAGAGGAATTTTTAAGGTATTAATTTTAGTTATATATATATATATATATATAGAAGCACAAAGCCCAAAACACCAGCCTGAAGATGACGAATGGGACTTCGTCGAAACGTCACCAAGACACTTGCAATTTTACACGGGAGAAAACATGAATAACCAAAGACATATATATATATATATAGTATAAACTAGTTGTTTATTGTTAAAATGCGCTCTACATGGGGCTACCCTTGAAGAGTGTTCGGAGGCTGCAGTTGGTTCAGAACGCAGCCGCGAGAGCGATTGTGGGCGTGCCAAGGTACGCCCACGTGTCACCTATCCTCCGCGAGCTGCACTGGCTTTATGTGGGTCTCCGGACGCAATTCAAGGTGTTGGTTATCACCTTTAAAGCCCTGCATGGTATAGGGCCAGGTTACTTACAGGACCGCATTCTGCCGCACAGCTCCCAGAGACCGGTGAGGTCCCATAGATTGGGCCTCCTCCAGGTCCCGTCGGCCAGACAATGTCGGCTGGCGGGCCCTCGGGGAAGGGTCTTTTCTGTGGTGGCTCCGACCTGGTGGAATCAGCTTCCCCCCGAGGTTCGAACTACTCCCACCCTGCCGGCCTTTAAGAAGGCCGTTAAAACCCTCCTGTTCCGGCAGGCCTGGGGCTGATGTCCCCGGCGGGCCGGGATATGATCGGACTCGCGGTATGACTGCTTTATTTTATTGTTTTATCATTGTTTTAACTTTGTACGCCGCCCTGAGTCCTTTGGGATTGGGCGGCATAAAAATACTGAAATAAATAAATAAATAAACCCCCTGAGCCTCACTCTGAGGACGCTGGCAGAAGACTAGCGAAAGCTAAGTTGTATATAACTGTTTTTATTGTTTTAAGTATTGTTTTAATAATAAACAACTAGTTTATACTTTTCCCAGAGATCAAGGATTGCATTATTGAACAAATATGCCCGGGATTCGCATTTTTGCAACCATTAAGGATATATATAGTGTGTGTGTGTGTGTGTGTGTGTGTGTAGGTCTTTGGTTGTTTGGGTTTTCTCCCGCGTAAAATTGGAAGTGTCTTGGCGACGTTTCGACGAAGTCCCATTCGAAGTCCCATTTTACGCGGGAGAAAACACGAACCAAAGACCTACATACAAACACCCGCGAAAACCTCAGAAAACAAATATATATATACACACACACACACACACACACACATAGATACATATATATATATACATATCCATACACACACACACACACACACACACACACACACACACACACACATATATTCAATGATCCAATCTTCGATCTCCGGGAAAAGTATAAACTAGTTATTTATTGTTAAAACAGTATTTAAAAGTGTTGAACAAATATGCCCGGGATTCGTATTTTTATAACCATTAAGGATAGATATATATATATATATATATATATATATATATATATATATATTATATATATATATATATATATATATATATATATATATATATATATATATATATATGTTTTCTGAGGTTTTCGCGGGTATTTGTATGTAGGTCTTTGGTTGTTCGGGTTTTCTCCCGCGTAAAATTGGAAGTGTCTTGGCAACGTTTCGATGAAGTCCCATTCGTCATCTTCAGGCTGGTGTTTTCAGCTTCGTGCTTTGAGTATATATATGTGTGGATAGATTGATTTTAGAGATGAAAGAGAAAGAAGACTCAAGTCTACTTTAGAACACGAAAAAACAAGTCCGAAAGGAATGTGACATGTAATTTTGAATATATGTTAGTAAGAAGGAGGCTACCGAGTGATTAATTCATCCTGTTTTATGATAATTCACGATATCTATTATTGTTAGTTAAATACAGGTACCCAGACAATATGCTGTTGGCTAAATATTGAAAAGGTTACCTGGGAAAACCCCAACCCCAATCCTCATCCTGACCCCATTTTATCCCTAACCCTATAAAAAACCAATAAAATTTATATATATATAAAAAAATAAAGCAAAGTCAAATTAGAAGCAAAAATGAAAGTTAAACCGATAGAGTGAAGCACAAACAGCCGGGAGTCCCCGACTTACAACTGTCTCAAGTCACAACGGCACCGAAAAAGGCGACTGTTTTTCACATTTAACCACCACCGCCGTGGTCGCGGGTTCAAAAGCCGGACGCTCGGCAACTTGACTCATCTTTACGACGGTCGCATTGTTCCCCCGGGGCCCTGGAGGAGCAAAGTCAACGCAGAAAGCCAGATTTCACTTTAACGACCGCCTGGCTCGCTTAACAACTTTGCGGCCAGAACGGTGTGGTGCAATGGGGAGGGGGAGGGCCCAAACTCACTTGGAAGGGATCTTGGAGGTCATCTAGTCCAACCTCCCCCACTCAAGCAGGAGACCCTTACAGAATCGAGAGAAGGACCAAGTTGGACCTTAGAGGTCATCTAGTCCAACCCCCCTGGCTCAAGCAGGAGACCCTTACAGACTCGAGAGAAGGACTGAGTTGGAAGGGATCTTGGAGGTCATCTAGTCCAACCCCCCCCCCCGTTCAAGCAGGAGACCCTTACAGAATCAAGAGGACAGAGTTGGAAGGGATCTTGGAGGTCATCTAGTCCAACCCCCCTGCTCGAGCAGGGGACCCTTACAGAACCGAGAGAAGGACCTAGTTGGACCTTAGAGGTCATCTAGTCCTACCCTCCCTGCTCCAGCAGGAGACCCTTACAGAATCGAGAGAAGCAAAAAAGTTGGAAGGGACCTTGAAGGTCATCTAGCCCAATTTCCTTTCACAACCGATTTGAACGGGTGAGTGAGTCGCTTGCGGACGGATAGAAATCAGACAAATATACAGAAATAAAAAAAAAATTCCAGGAATAATCCGTGACGCCTCAAGAGAGAGGAAACAGGTGGGCTTCAAAACCGAATCAACGAAACAAGGAAGTAGTCCTTCGAACAAGGGGGAATAAAATAAAAGAATCAAATCAAATCAAATAATAAGAAAAAATAAAATATAAAATAAAATAATAATAAAAAATAACAAATAAAATAAAATAATCAAATCAAATCATAAAATAAAATAAAAATAAAATAATCCAATCAAATAATCAAATTAAAATAAAATAATAATAGAATAATATAATATAATATAATAAAAATAATCAAATCAAATCAAATAATAAAATAATAATAATAATAAAATATAAAATAATCAAATCAAATCAAATCACAAAATAAAATAAAAATAAAATAATCAAATCAAATAATCAAATTAAAATCAAATAATAATAATATAATATAATATAATAAAAATAATCAAATCAAATCAAATCAAATAATAAAAAATAAAATAAAATAATCAAATCAAATCACAAAATAAAAAATAAAATAATCAAATCAAATAATCAAATTAAAATAAAATAATAATATAATAATATAATATAATATAGTAAAAATAATCAAATCAAATCAAATAATAAAACAAAATAATAATAAAATATAAAATAAATCAAATCAAATCACAAAATAAAATAAAAATAAAATAATCAAATCAAATAATCAAATTAAAATAAAATAAAATAAAAATATAATAATATAATATAATGTAATGTAATGTAATGTTGTTGTTGTTGTTAATTGCGAAGTCGTGTCTGACCCGTCGCGACCCCATGGACAATGTTCCTCCAGGTCTTCCTGTCCGCTACCAAATGTAATGTAATGTAATGTAATGTAATGTAATGTAATGTAATATAATATAATATAATATAATATAATATAATATAATAAAAATAATAAAATAAAATAAAGAAAACGAAAGAAAAGGCCACCCTTTTTTCCTAGCTGCTAAGGAAGGTCGGGCCTTTCAGACAGTCTCTGTCAAGACCCTCTTCCCAGGGCACTCCTGGCTAGGCGAAGTGATCTCCCCGTGGTCTCCCATCCCGCCTGTCCCACTAACTAGGGAACCCAGATCTGAGCGGCAGAGAGGCTCCCCTTCCAAGCTGCGAGCCCCCTCCCCCCCAAAAAAGGGAAGGTCAGAAGTCAAGACACACACACACCCCTCCCCGCATTGCAACCCCGAGCAAAGCAGCAAAGCGCGCGGGGAATTTGCACCGCGCGGCTCCATTTGCAAGCGGGCGCCCGCCGCATAGCAGCCGCCTTGAGGCGGGGGCGCCAAAGCGGCGCTCGCCCACCTTACCTCCCCTTGGCCGCTGCCGGCCATCCTGGCGGCTCCACGGCGTCCAGGGCGGCCTCTCGGGTCGTGGGGAAAGGCGGTGGGTGGCTCCCCGGGGCTGACGCAGAGAGGGAGGGAAGGCAGGCTCTGGAGTTGCATTTGCAAGTTTGCACCACCCACGCTTGGAGCCGGAAAGAGCCACTTTTCGGCTCTCTCCCGCCCCCCCCCCGCCGCATCTGTGCAACACGCGTCCGTGCAACACGCGTCCCGCGTTCCGACGTGCAGGTGGCTCGTCTTTGGAACGCTGAGCTCCCGGGCGCGTTTGAACTTGAAGCAGCGCGGGCATGGCTCCGTTGGCTCCGCCCCTCCTGTAAGAAAACTGTTATTTAAGCATTAAATAGCACCTAATCTTTATGAAACGTTATCTATTGAATATTATTCATAATATTTACTGTTGACCTATTACCTTGAAGGGATTTTATTATGATTTTAGCATGTTTAAGTTTGACATTAGCATTTATTTTATGTATAGTAACCATTTTATATTGATACTTATAGTGTTATCATGGAATCGTTGTTTTGTTATTTTGTAATCATTTTGTAGTTCAATTGCTTGATCAGATGCTTTATATATATATATATATATATATATATATATATATATATATATATATATATATATATATATATATATATATATATATATATATAAAGCATCTGATCAAGCAAGTAACTACAAAATAATGATTACAAAATAATAACAATGATTCCATGATAGCACTATAAGTATCGATATAAAATGGTTACTATATATAAAATAAATGTTAATGTCAAACTTAAGCATACTAAAATCATAAGCACAATACAATCCCTTCCACCTATTAGATACATCTGAATGAGCTTGTCTGTTATGTATTATTGAACGTTACTTATCTATTAAAACACAACGCCAATATCTGAAATCATTCATTTTCAAGTTGTCAAAAGTGAATAAGGTTAAACTGATCTGTGAAATATTCATCGTTTGTTGCCTAGCGTCTGTTAAATCTTACTAATAAACGTGTCCATTAAATACGAAACATTACTTGTCTATTTACTCTTTAATAAAAAAAATCGCATGAAAAAATTAATTTACAATTGGTCAAAATTGGCAAGATTAAACTTACCTATTAAGTATTAAATCGTCGTTTATTACCTATCGTGTTAAATCTTATTAATAAACGTGTCCATTAAATATTTTGAAATATTACTTGTCTATTACTCTTAAATAACAAACATTGCATGAAAGAATTAATTTACAATTTGTCAAAAAATAATAAGATTAAACGTACCTATTAAGTATTAATACTTTTTTGTTACTTATCATGTTAAATCTTAATAAATGTGTCTATTAAATATTATGAAATAAGGTCTTATTAAATACTCTTTAATAACAAATATTGCATAATCTACAATTTGTCAAAAATAAATAAGATTAAACTTATCTATTAAATATTCATCATTGTTTATTACCTCATCTGTTAAATCTTATTAATAAACATGTCCGTTAAACATTACAAATTATTACTTGTCTATTAAACTCTTTAGTTGCAAATATTGCATGAAATAATTTACAATTTGTCCCAAATTAATCAGATTGAATTTATCTATTAAATATTAATATTTATCTTACCCATTATCTCTTAATTAATATTAAATATTGCCTATTCAATATTATTAAACACGACTTATCTATTAAATACCCTTGATACCAATTAATACATGAAATAATTAAAATTTGTGAAAAATTAATAAAATTGTTAGTATTAGTAGTTGATTAAAGGTTTTGGTTTTATGTGTATATGTGCGTGTGTGCATCTCTGTATATGTGTATGTTTATGTGGGCAATATGTGTTATACATATATGTGTGTGTGTTTATATGTACAGTATATATATAAATTGCAATAAATTGTAATTGTATATAACTAATAAAATTTAGTATTAGTAATTGATTAAAGGTTTTGGTTTTATGTGTATATGTGTGTCTATATATGTATATATGTATGTTTATATGTACAGTATGTGTTTTATATATGAGTGTATATATCTATCTATCTATCTATCTATCTATCTATCTATCTATCTATCTATCTATCTATCTATCTATCTCAGTGGTTCTCAACTTTTCTAATGCCGCGACCCCATAATACAGTTCCCCATGTTGTGGTGACCCCCAACCACTTATACATCACCGGGTGCCAGGGGCGTGGCCAAAGAAAAGGGGGGGGGAAATGGCAGACAGCCTTGTTTGGCGACCCCCGTGAAATGGTCGTTCGACCCCAAATGGGGTCCCGACCCACAGGTGGAGAACCACTGATCTATCTGAATGTTTCTCTCTCTCTGTGTATATGTGCATGTATATATGTGTATATGTAAATCAATCAGAATAGAGCTGCAAGGACCTTGTGGGAATGATTGCATAGATTTGCTTATAGACTTGCTCCCAGACAGTCCTTGACATACCAAAACAGACCGTTCCAGCCACGGAACACATCCATCAGCCATTTGGACAGGCTCTGATAAGAACAGGGAAACAGGATGGATAAGTCATCACTCACCTGCACAGCCTTGCATCTGGAAAGTGTCTGCTATGTGGTACATTGTAACCGCCCTTGTATACGCCTTTTGATTACGCTGTGTGATGTAAAAACTATTGTAATAATAAAAGAGGGTCTTGGAGTCAGCTCTGGGCTCTCATCCCGAGATACCTACGTGCGTGTCTCATTCTTCATGGGAGACCACCACACCCATTATCTCTTAAATATTAATATTAAATATTGCCTATTCAATATTATTAAACACGACTTATCTATTAAATACCCTTGATACCAATTAATCCATGAAATAATTAAAATTTGTGAAAAATTAATAAAATTGTTAGCATTAGGTTTTGGTTTTATGTGTATATGTGAGTGTGTGTGTGCATCTCTGTATATGTGTATGTTTATGTGGGCAGTATGTGTTATACATATATATGTGTGTGTGTTTATATGTACAGTATATATATAAATTGCAATAAATTGTAATATAATTGTATATAACTGTAATAAAATTTAGTATTAGTAATTGATTAAAGGTTTTGATTTTATGTGTATGTGTCTATATATGTATATATGTATGTTTGTAGGTCTTTGGTTGTTCGGGTTTTCTCCCGCGTAAAATTTTACGCGGGAGAAAACCCGAACAACCAAAGACCTACATACAAATACCCACAAAAACCTCAGAAAACAAATATGTATGTTTATATGTACAGTATACGTATTTTATATATGAGTGTATCTATCTATCTATCTATCTATCTATCTATCCATCCATCCATCCATCTGAATGTCTCTCTCTCTCTGTGTATATGCATATGTATATATGTGTATATGTAAATCGATCAGAATAGAGCTGGAAGAACCTTAGAGGTCTTCTAGTCCAACCCCCTGCCCAGGGAGAAGACTTATATCATTTCAGACAAATGGTTGTCCAGTCTCTCTTTAAAAACCTCCACTGTCGGAGCACCTACAACTTCTGGTGGCAAACAGTTCCACTGGTTAATTGTTCTCATTGTCAGAATTTTTCTCCATGGTTCCAGGTTGCTTCTCTCTTTATTGGTTTCCATCCATTGCTTCTTGTCCGGCCTTCTTGTGTTTTGAAAAATAAATTGACCCCCCCCCCTCTTCTTTGGGGCAGCCTCTCAAATACTGGGAGACTGCTGTCATGTCCCCCCCCCCCGTCCTTCTTGTCATTAAACTAGACTTAGAGCATACACAACTTCTTGTAACTGCCCTTCTTCGTATGTTTTAGGCTCCGGGCCGTGAATCGTCACACTTTTTCCAAAGTCTCAACCTCTTTTTTTGTAACGGGGTGATCAAAACTGGGCACCGTATCCCGTATCAAAATCATGTGAAGTCTTCGCGCCGCTTTGTCGAGCCTTAGTGAGACTTCACGTGATTTTGATTCTGTGCCTCTCTTTATACAACCGAGGATTGTGTCGGCTTTTTTTTGGCTGCCGCCGCACATAGCTGGCTTGTTTAGTGGATTGTCCACTCGGACGCCGAGGTCCCTCTTGCCGTTAACTGTTTTTGAGCTGGGATTCCCCTAATCTGTACTTGGACCTGTGGTATTGTCTGCCTAGGTGCAAAATCTTGTTTTTCTCCACATTAAACTTCATGTTGTTGGATAGGGCCCATTGTTATGTATATGTATGCGTATATACATATCATGTATGTGTATATAAGTATGTCTATATTTGTGCATGTATGTGAATGTATTTGTATGCATGTGTATATGTGTATATGTATACATCTGTGTGACTGTTTATGTACATAGGTGTACATGTGTGTATGTGTCTGTATATATTTGTACATGTGTATATATGTGTGTATATGTGTACTATGTGTATATAAGTATATGCATATTTCTATGTATATATGTATGTGTATATGTATATTTGTATATGTATATATTTAATATATATATATGTGTATGTCTATATTTGTGCATATATGTTTATGTATTTGTGCATATATATGTGTATGTATTTGTATGTGTATATGTATATAGGTGTACATGTGTGCATATGTGTACGTATATATATTTGTACGTGTATATGTATGTGTATATATGTATGTGTACTATATGTGTATATAGGTATATGCATATTTGTGTGTGTATATATGTGTATATATATATATATATATATGTATATGGGTCTATGTATATATGTATGTGACTGTATACACTGTGACTATGTATATATGTATACATGTGTATGTGTACGTGTGTATGTATTTGTACATGTGTATATTTCTATGTGTGTGTAAGTCTATATTTGTGCATGTATATGTATATATGTACATGAATGTGAAAACCCGAACAACCAAAGACCTACATACAAACACCCGCGAAAACCTCAGAAAACGAATGTGAATATGTGTATATATATGACTATATGCATGTGTCTACATAGGTATACATGTGTATGTATATATGTGTATATGTATGTGTACTATATGTGTCTATATAGGTATACATGTGTATGTGTATATGTACATGTACTATATATATGTATATAAGTATATATTTGTGTATGTATGTGTATATGCATATTTGTACATGTGTATTATATATCTGTATATATGTGTATATGTATGTGTATTTGTAAATGTGTATGTGTGCATGTTTGTGACCATGTGTATGCATCTGTGTATATGTATGTGTATATAGATGTACATGTATGTATATATTTGTACATGTGTATATCTATATATGTATGTGTATATATATAACTATGTGTGTGTGTATATATGTGTGTGTATGTATGTATATGGGTACATGTGTATTTATACATGTGTGTGTGTGTGTGTATAGTGTATGTATATATGTATATTTAACATTTAAACCTACAACTGTCTCTGTCATCATCCAGAAAGAAACAACACAAGAGACTCAGGAATTTCATGAGGTAAATTAAAACAGTTTACAGAACACACCCAGGAAAAAAAAAAGGCGGGAAAAAGGGAACCGCCCCCTTTATACTCACGGCAACCAATCACAGTGCAGGTTGCCTCATGCCCCAGTCAGCCCTCTCTGATCAACGGCAGCTGTGCGGTTGATTGGCCCGGAGTAGCTCCAGCTACTAAATTCAATATGCTAACTCAGGGCTAGGCAACCTTGGCTCTTTTACGACTCGTGGACTGCAACTCCCAGAATTCCTGAGCCAGCCTGGCTCAGCTTGGAAACCTCTCCCTTTCCCCTCAGCATGGCTGGCTCAGGAATTCTGGGAGTTGAAGTCCACGAGTCATAAAAGAGCCAAGGTGGCCTACCCCTGTGCAGCTAGACGTAGAGTAGAATAGAATACAATAGAAATATAGACTAGACATAGAATAGAATAGAATAGATGGAATAATGAATAGGATAGGATATACAATAGAATAGAATGGAGTAATGAATAGGATAGGATATAGAATAGAATAGATGGAATGGAGTAATGAATAGGATAGGATATAGAATGGAATAATGAATGGAATAGAAAAAATGGAGAGGATAGGATAGGAATATAGAATAGAAATAGAATAGATGGAATGAAAATGAATAGAATAGAAAATATGGAATGGAATAATGGATAGTATAGGAATATAGGATAGAATAGGAATATAGAATAGAATTAGAATAAAATAGAATAATGAATAGGATAGGATAGGATCGAATAGAATAGAATCTGGAAGGGACCACCTCTAGTCTATATTTCTTTTCTATTCTATTCTATTCTATTCTATTCTATTCTATTCTATTCTATTCTATTCTATTCTATTCTATTCTATTTCTATTCTATTTCTATTCTACTCTACTCTATGCTACTCTACTCCTAGTCTAGTCTAGTCTAATCTAGTCTTCTCTGGAGAAGTCCACAATGGAAGGAAAGGGAAGGGGATGACCAGTTTCAAATTATCCTACACTGGATGAGTCTATGGAGATTCTCAGTCATTCAGCTCATGGCTGTTCCAAATCCTTCCATTCCCCGCCCTCTAGAGCCGAAGAAGCTTCTTTGAATGAGAAGCGAAAACGTCTTCAAAAAAAACCCAAGGCAGTCCAGTTGCCTTCTTCGGGCTTACATTGGACACCATATCTTTTCTGGAGAAGTCCACCATGCTAGGAATGGCGGAAAGAAAGAGGACAAGCAGCAGAAGGCAGGTGGACTCTGATGGCCACGTGGGCCTCGCTGGAAGACCTGAAGGATCAGGATTAGGAGCGGTTGCTGTGGGGAAGGTCTATCTTTGTCGTCACGAAGAGTTAAAGCCGATGTGATGGAATTTAATCATCAATATGTAGAAATATCCCCCAACCTGGCCAGGAGAGAAAGAAAGAGAAGAGGGCAAGTACCGATAGGAGCAAGGACTCAATATGTGGTCACTACAGTCAACCACCCACTTGATCGAACGTCATCCGTCATCATCCATCAATCAATGCAAAAAAATTCCTCCACCACCTCCTCCTCCTCCCTTCAACCCCACTTCCTTCTACAATTGGCGATGTTCCCTCGTGATCAATACGGTCGTCCTCCACTTACAAGCACAGCCGAGCCCGAAATCTACGTCACTAAGCGAGACATTTGTCAAATGAGTTTTGCCCCATTTTATGATCCCCCTCCCGCCACGGCGCTTGAGCGAATCGCTGCAGTTATGAAGTTAGCAACAGGGCTGTCATTTCCCCGTTGACTTCGCTTGCTAGAAGGTCGCAAAAGCGGATCGCACGACCCCGGGGGACACCGCAACCGTCACAAGCACGAGTCGGTTGCCGAGCACCTGAATTTTGAATCGCGTGACCACGGGGACGCGACAAGGGTCACGAGTGTGAAAAACATGTCACTTTTTTTCAGGGCGGTTGTCAGTTTGAACGATCACTAAATGAACTGTCGTAAATCGAGGACTACATGTTAACTGCGTGATTTGCCAGCCTTCGATCCGTAAATATCTCCAAAGTAAATGAACAAAAAAATAAAAAATGCAAGCAATTCTTTTTTTTTTTTTTGGGAAGCGGTCTGTATTTGCAACACACCTTTGATACAAAACTACATCCTGAAAAGAACATGTCTCTCTGTGTGGGGGTGTTTAATATATTGTTCATTAAAAAAAAAACCAAAAAACCCAACGAGGCGGCCCACGTGAGATAACGGGAGTTTTAAAATCCTAAAAGCAGCAGAGGGGGGAGACCCCGGGGAGAACGAATGAACAGGATTGCCACAGGTCAGATGTGCACAATTTCGTTCGGAGGGCCGAAAGATTTTTCCCGCACTCGCAACAAAACTGTGAACCATAAAAGGAAGCGAAGAGGAAAAGAAAGAGAAAGGAAACAACCGGTGATTCGAATGTGATGTCCCACGAGTGCGAGCTACAGAACGGAAAGCTTTCTGCTTAAAGGGTTCCGTCCGTACATTTGGAAAAACATCTTTTTTTTTTTTTAGCACGCGATCCATCCGGAGCGTGGTTCTGCCGCTAGAAAGTTGCGAGTCACTCCGCCAGACACCGATGGGAAAAGGTATCACTCTGTGGCTGGCGGTGTCTAACAGAAGCCCAAAGGACGCACAATGAAGGTTGAGCATCCAGCAAAATGGGACCGCTCGGCGTTAGTGTCTTACGTACAAGGAATAAACATCCTGCACAAGTGCACGTACCGCACAGGTGCGCCAGTACAGAGGGAGGGAGGGAGGGAAGGAGGAAATTGGGGGTCGGAAATCTTTTCAGACTTCCTGTGTCTGCCCCCCCCCATATTCTAAATTCCCCCAAATAGTCGGGACCTTTCTGTACTGGGAGGTGTGATTCTCGCACCGTTAGCATCCTCAGCTGAAAAGGAGTCAGATTAGTTGGTTGCAAGCAGCTAGACGTGCAGCGTCCTTTTTCAGAAGCGGCTTCACGGCACTCGGCGTACCTCCCCTGTGCACACCGCAGCGTCCCTTTTCAGAAGCGGCTTCACGGCGCTCGGCGCACCTCGCCCGTGCACACCGCAGCGTCCCTTTTCAGAAACGGCTTCAGGGCGCTCGGCGTACCTTGCCCATGGACACCGCAGCGTCCCTTTTCAGAAACGGTTTTATGGTACTCGGTGTAGCTTCTGGCGCAGAACAAGTCCATCTTTTCCAGCTGCTATGCATCCAGCTGTTCTGTCAGATTCGGCAGAACTGCAGATGTGAGACTGGGGGGTCCGGAGGGAACACTGGCAGGCTTCAACGGACGGGCCGAGTGGCTGAGCTCTTCCCCGCCGCTGCAAAATGCTAGGGAAGACCGTCGCTCCCCAAGACGGGCAAAAGCCGCTGGGCTGAGGCCTCGCCGCCGTGAGTCCTCAGGTGGTCCTTGAGCGACTCTTTGTAACGGAAGCTGCGCCCACACTCGGCGCACTGGTAGGGGCGCTCACCCGTGTGAATGCGCTGGTGCTTGAGAAGATTCTGCTTCCGGATGAAGCGTTTCCCGCAGACGGGACACTGGAAGGGGCGCTCGCCCGTGTGCAGCCGCTGGTGGTTCTGCAGGTGTTCCTTGCGGCTGTAACATTTGCCGCACTCGGCGCATTTGTAGGGACGCTCGCCCCGGTGGGTCATTTGATGCCGTACCAAACCCGAGTGGCAGTTGAAACTCTTGCGGCACTCGGCGCATTCGTACAGCCGGGCTTGGCCGTGATGGCTGCGCTGGTGGACCTTGAGGCTCTTTTTCACCCCAAACATCTTGCCGCACTCGCTGCAGCCGTGGGGACGCTCGGCCGAACCCTGAGGAGGGCCCAAGATGCTTTGCAGCTCGTTGTCTAACTCCAGAGGTTTACCCACTCGGCATTTGCTGGGGCTGGCGGGCGGCACGCGAGGCGCATCATAGCCTTCCGCTGTGGGAGGAACGGCGAGACCAGCTGCTGCAGGTGACTCTCCGTGGAAGAGCATCTCCCGAGGTCTCGCCGGCTCTTCGGGGCACAGGCGTGGCTGTTCTGCTTTGATGACCATCCCGTCTCCAGCTGGAATGGAAAGCGAAAGAAAGCCACAATCATTTACAGTGGTACCTCGGCAGTCACTGTCAACGCTGCTAACATCGAATGTTCTTGCTCTGACCATGTATGGAGACGCAGCCACTTTCCTTTACTTTATGTTTTACTCTTAAACCCTATACCGTAGGTAGGCAACCTGTGGCTCTGGACCCGCATGCGGCTCTTTGAGCCTTCTCCTGCGGTTCCCAGCCTCTTCTGCCATTTGCAGAGAGACAGACAGAGAGAGAGGCACTTGCGCCTCTCTCTCTCTCTCTCTCTCGCTGTTTGTGTGTAAAAAAAAGAGTGGCATCACCCTGTTCCACGAGCTGACAAGCTTATTGGGCAGGGCTCCTCCCTTTGCTGCATCTCTGCAGGAAGCAGGAAGGGCAGGAGAGAGCCAGCCTGTTGGAGAACAGCTTGAAGCCAGCTTGCCAGGTTAGCAGAAGATCGGAGAGAGGGAGAGAAAGGGGGGGAGAAAGAGAGAGGGAGGGAGAGAGAGAGAGAGAGGGAGAGGAAAGAGAGAGACAGAAAGAGAGAGAAAGGAAAGAGAAAGAGAGGGAGAGGAAAGAGAAAGAGAGAAAGAGGGAGAGAGGAAGAGAGAGAGGAAAGAGAAAGAAGAGAGGGGGAAGCACAAGTGCCTCTCTCTCACACACATACACACACACGCACGCACACAGAGACACACACACACACACAGAGTGGGGGAAGAGGACTGGCAGACCAAGGGCAGAAAGAGAGAGAGAGAGGGAGGGAGAGAGACGAGAGACACCCTTTTGACATCTAAAATGAAGATAACACTGCATATATCCTTTTTTACCTTTATGATATATATATATATCTATATATATATATATTATATATATATATATATATATATATATATATATATATATATATATTATATATAATATATGTAGGTCTTTCGTTATTCGGGTTTTCTCCCGCGTCAAACTGGAAGTGTCTTGGCGACGTTTCGACGAAGTCCCATTCATCATCTTCAAGCTGGTGTTTTCGGCTTCGTGCTCCTAGAAGCACGAAGCTGAAAACACCAGCCTGAAGATGACGAATGAAACTTCGTCGAAACGTCGCCAAGACACTTCCAATATGACGTGGGAGAAAACCCGAATAACCAAAGACCTACATACAAACACCCGCGAAAACCTCAGAAAACAAATATCATATATGGTACGTACACACACACACACACACACACACACACCTATAATAAAGGAAAAAAAGGATATATGCAGTGTTATCTTCATTTTAGATATCAAAAGGGTTTTGTGGGTCCCGGTGTTTTGTTGCCGGTGGGAAACGGATGCAAGTGGCTCTTTAACTGTTTTGGGTTGCCTACCCCTGCCCTATACCATTTTGGACAAATGGCTGTCCAGTCTCTGTTAACTCATTAATCTTTACCACAATTCATATTAAGAGAATCCTCTGTATTATTTCAATTTCTTTTTTAAACCCTAAAAGGAGAAAATCCTTTTTTTAGTTTGAATATTTTACTAACTTTAAACAATACTCAAGTATTATATATTAATTGGGGGGGGGGCGGGAAGAACCTCTTCATTTTAAAACCAGGACCCACAACACAAAAACCACATTAGAGCTTTCATTCAATTATGTATCTCACACCAACAGAAGTCTCCAATTAGCTCACGAATTCAAACGGAACCAAATCATCACTTTCTTGTCCCTTTGAACGTGCATACGCGAAAAAGGAGATTTTTCTCTCCCTCAAGCTGATCCTGGCGGAGTATCAATCTTTTCCTTCTCTTATTTTCAAATTGAATCCATGGTACTTTACAAACTCGGGGAGTTATTCCGACTGAATAATTTTCCAAACGGGCGTTTGTTTGTTTTTTTGCGGCAAACTTAATCAAAAATTCTGATCGGGACATGATCGATCGTTGCGACCGATCGTCAATGTCTCCAAATTGCGTCCCTGTGGCCGGAGGATGTTGCGTGGCCTTTTTTTTTTTCAGAACTTTGAGCAGTTGCTAAAGAAGCGGTCATAAAAATTGAGACCACGATAAAAGCTGCATATAAAGGAATAGAAGCATAAGGGGAACTTGTCAAATTTGCAGATGACGCTAAGATGGCAGGAGTAGCCAATACCCCAGAAGACGAGCTCAGAATCCAAAAAGGATCTTGGCAAACGTGAACAATGGGGCCCTCTCCAACAAAATGAAATATAAGGTGGAGAAAAGCAAAGTTTTACACCTAGGCAGGTGTAAACCAGGCAAAACCTGGTTATAATAATAATAATAAAGTTGGAAGGGACCTTGGAGGTCATCTAGTCCAACCCCCTGCTCAGGCAGGAAACCTATACCATTTCAGACAAATGGCTGTCCAGTCTCTTCTTAAAAATTTCCAGTGTTGGAGCCACTTCACAGCCACCTGAACAGCGGCAGTGAATCGTTTCAGAACGGTGGCAAGAACGGTGGCAAGAACGGTGCCCTCTCTTACGACTTGTAAGAAAGGGCAAAAGTCTCACTTAGCGAGAGATTTCGGGGGGCGCCTTTGTGGTCGCAAAACTAGGACGAGGTGTTATTTCAACCCACCGCATTCCACTAAAAGAGATGGGGGAGTCAGTCGGGCGAGGACTAACCTGGGCCGCCTTGCACCGGAAGCGTCTCTCTTTCCGACGGGAGCCACTGCGGTCGGACACACGGATCCTCCTCCTGTTTAATCCAGGATAAAAAGTCGTGGGCGGACATGAGCGCCTGGCCACCTGCAGGAGAAGAAAGGGGGTGCTCAATTTGCGGGATGTTTTTCAGGGATTCCTCCCCTTCCCCAAAGAGGCAGAAAGGGACAGAGAGCCCAAACACATCGGTCCCAAGCCCACCGAAGCAGGACATGCGTGTCAGAATCACGCCGTATTTGCACTCAAGGCAATTGGCCTTGTGTATTCAATTTGCACGTGTAAAATGAGCCTCCTTCAGCCTTAGCAATTTGAAGAGTGGTGGACTTCAACTCCCAGAATTCCCTAGCCAGTATACTGGCTGAGGAATTCTGGGACTTAAAGTCCATATATTTTAAAGCATTTTGGCTAAGGAATTCTGGGAATTGAAGTCCATATATTTTAAAATATGCCGGCTGGAGAATTCTGGGAGTTGAAGTCCACATATTTTAAAACAGGCTGGCTGAGGAATTCTGGGAATTGAAGTTCATATATTTTTAAACCATGTTGGCTAAGGAATTCTGGGAACTGAAGTCCATATATTTTAAAACAGACTGGCTGGAGAATTCTGGGAACTGAAGTCCATCTATTTTAAAACAGGCTGGCTGAGGAATTCTGGGACTTCAAATCCATATATTTTAAAATAGGCTGGCTGAGGGATTCTGGGAATTGAAGTCCATATATTTTAAAATATGCTGGCTGGGGAATTCTGGGATTTGAAGCATATATTTTAAAACAGGCTGGCTGAGGGATTCTGGGAATTGAAGTTCATATATTTTTAAACCATGTTGGCTAAGGAATTCTGGGAGTTGAAGTCCATATGTTTTAAAGCATTTTCGCTAAGGAATTCTGGGAGTTGAAGTCCATATATTTTAAAGCATTTTCGCTAAGGAATTCTGGGAGTTGAAGTCCATTTATTTTAAAACATTTTGGCTAAGGAATTCTGGGAATTGAAGTCCATATATTTTAAAATATGCTGGCTGGGGAATTCTGGGATTTGAAGCATATATTTTAAAACAGGCTGGCTGAGGGATTCTGGGAATTGAAGTTCATATATTTTTAAACCATGTTGGCTAAGGAATTCTGGGAGTGGAAGTCCATATATTTTAAAGCATTTTCGCTAAGGAATTCTGGGAGTGGAAGTCCATATATTTTAAAGCATTTTCGCTAAGGAATTCTGGGAGTTGAAGTCCATATATTTTAAAGCATTTTCGCTAAGGAATTCTGGGAATTGAAGTCCATATATTTTAAAATATGCTGGCTGGAGAATTCTGGGAGTTGAAGTCCATATATTTTAAAACAGCCTGGCTGGAGGATTCTGGGAGTTGAAGTCCCTATAAACCAAACCAGGCTGGGTCATCAATGGAATAAGCCACACAAACAAGCCATGGTTCATTATCTCCGTGCTGTTCTCTCTCCCCACCCTGTATTTTCAAAGAGTCCGGATATCATTAAGTTGAAAATATCCGACATTAAAACCATCGGTACTATCCAAGCTCTGCCTGGGGGCTGCCATCTTGCCTTTTTTGACCGCCCTGGGCAGAAGTGTCCGAGTCCGGGACCCTCCCCCCTTTTGCCCCCAAACGTCAGCCCCCCCCCACTCGCCCATCACCTGCGCACGGGTCCGCCACCAGGCCTCGGTCCTCGGAGAAGGGACCCCCGCCACCGTACGACCCCTCCTGCTTGATGCGGGTCAGGATGTCCGGCGTGGAGGCCAAGGGTCCTGGGTTCGAGGGAGAGATGGTCAGGAGGCGGACGCAGCTTGGAAATGCAGCCTAACCCCCCCCCCACCCATTGACCCACAGGTTCAAAATGCACACACACCCGTTGTGGGGGGGGGAAGAAAGGTTGGGAGGGGGCCAAGAATTGGTGCATGTGGGGGGGGTGCCTTTGGGGAAGGGCGAGGCTGAATGTGGGTAGGGGAACCCTGGAGGTGGAAGATGCGTGAAGCAATCGTGGTTTGTGCGGTGGTTGGCTGCAAAGGGGTGCAGAATGGTGATCTGGGAAGGAGGGAAGGAAGGAAGGAAGGAAGGAAGGAAGGAAGGAAGGAAGGAAGGAAGGGAGGGAGGGAGGGAGGGAGGGAGGGAGGAAATTGGGGATGGATGGATGGACAGATGGATGGATGGGAAGGAGGGAGGAAAGACTGGGAAAGAAGGAAGGAAAGAAGGGAAGAAGGAAAATGGGGATGGATGGATGAGAGGGAGGAAAGACTGGGAAGGAAGCGAGGAAGGGAGGGAGGAGATGGTGGAAGAGGAAAGCAAGGAAGAACGAGGGAGGGAGGAGAGGTAAGGCATGAAAGAATGAAGGAGGGAGGCAGAAAAGAAGGAGACAGTGGAAAAGGGAGGGAGGGAGGGAGGGAGGGAGGAGGAGGAATAGGGCATAAAAGAATGAAGGAGGGAGGCAGGAAAGAAGGAGAGTGGAAGAGGGAGGGAGGGAGGCAGGCAGGAAGAAAAGAAGGAAGAAAGACAAGAAAGAATGAAAGAGGAAAGGGATGGAGGGAGGAGGAAAGGAGAGATAAGGCATGAAAAAATGAAGGAGGGATGGAGGGAGGAAAGAAGATGGTGGAAGAGGAAGGAAGGGAGGGAGGGAGGAAAGGTAAGGCATGAAAGAAAGAGGGAAGAAAAAAGAAAAGAAGGGAGATGGGGAGGGAGAGAGAGGAAGGAAGGAATGAAGGGTAACACATGAAAGAATGAAGGAGGAAGGAAAGCAAGAAAGGAGGGAGGGAGGCAGGAAGAGAGGGAAGAAAGAAGGACGGAAGGAAAGAAGGCAGGAAAAAAACAAAGGAAAGGAGGAGGCAGGGAAGCCAGGCAGGCAGGAAAGAAAAGATCAGCAAGAAAGGAGAGACGAAGCCAAGAAGGAGGAAAAGAGATCAAAGCAGAGGAAGACAAAGAGGAGGAACCCGGAGAGGAAGGAAGGCAGGCAACGCCCTCCGCTGCGTTCCCACAACCCCCTTAACCCGGGTTCTTTTTCCCGACCTTTAGGATCTCATCTCCTCCACCCCGGAAAGGGGGGAGTGACCCGAACCTCCCAATTCAGCCTTTCCAAACCCGGCTGACCCCCCCATCTCTTCCCCCGCCCCCCACCTGTGCAAGGCTCGGGGATCACTTCGCGCTCTTTCGCACTCGGCTCCGGGACGCAGGGTTGGGGCGCCCCTCGGTCACTCCTGGGGGGCATCTCGGCCTTGGAGACGCTGACGTCGGCCCCTGGAAAATGGAGGTGCAATTAAAAAAAAAAAAAGGCAGCCAGAAAAGGAGTCTCTGCTCCCCCCCCAGTTGGGCTTCCCCACCTCGCAGGGTCGGCGTTTTGACCCGAAAAACCAGCAATACAGGCAATGCTCGACTTATGACCACAACTGAGCCCAACATTTCTGTCACTAAGCGAGACAGTTGTGACGTAAAGTTTTGCTCCCTTTTCCAATTTCTCTGGTCACAGTTGCTCAGTCCTCGACTTACGAGCACAACTGAGCCATTTCCGTCACTAAGCGAGACAGTTGTGAGGTAAATTTTGCTCCCTTTTACAATCTCTCTGGTCACAGTTGTTCAATCCTCAACTTATGACTACAACTGAGCCCATTTCCGTCACTAAGCAAGACAGTTGTGAGGTAAATTTTGCTCCCTTTTACAATCTCTGGTCAGTTGTTCAGTCCTCGACTTATGACCACAACTGAGCACATTTCCATCGCTAAGCGAGACAGTTGTGAGGTAAATTTTGCTCCCTTTTACAATCTCTGGCCAGTTGTTCAGTCCTCGACTTACGACCACAACTGAGCCCAATATTTCCATCGCTAAGCAAGACAGTTGTGAGGTAAATTTTGCTCCCTTTTACAATCTCTCTGGTCAGTTGTTCAGTCCTCGACTTACGATCACAACTGAGCCCATTTCCGTCACTAAGCGAGACAGTTGTGAGGTTAAGTTTTGCTCCCTTTTACAATCTCTCTGGTCAGTTGTTCAGTCCTCGATTTACGACCACAACTGAGCCCATTTCCGTCACTAAGCGAGACAGTTGTGAGGTTAGGTTTTGCTTCCTTTTACAATCTCTCTGGTCACAGTTGCTCAGTCCTCGACTTAAGACCAGAACTGAGCCCATTTCCGTTGCTCAGCAAGACAGTTGTGAGGTAACTTTTGCTCCCTTTTACAATCTCTCTGCCCACCATCCTTCAGTCCTCGACCTACGACAACTGATCCCAAAATTTCTCTTTTCTAAGTGAGATAGTCGTTAAGAGCGTTTTGCCCTATTTTTACGACCTTTCTTGGCACAGTTGTTCAGTCCTCAACTTACGACCACAACTGAACCCCAAATTTCCCACCGCTAAGCGAGGACCTTTCTTGACCCGGTTGTTAAGTGAGTCACTGCCCCAGTTAAGTTAGGAACACGGTCGTTAAGTGAATCCAGCTTTTCCCCATTGACTTTGCTTGTCGGAAGGTTGCAAAAAGTCGCCTGACCCCCTGGGACACTGCGACCGTCATAAATACGAGTCAGGGGCCAAGTGTCTGAATCCTGATCCCATGTCCCTGGTCGTAAGTGTGAAAAAGCATCACAAATCTCTTTTTTTCAGTGCTGTTTTAACTTTGAACAGTCACTAAAATGAAATGTTGTAAATCGAGGACTACCACAAGGGGGATAAGAAACCAGCGGCGGCCGGTAACCTGGTTATACCGAGGGTTAGCAAGGATTCGTAGTTTTCCTTCACGAGATTGTTGTACAGGTCTTTTTGCCAGTCGGCCAAATTCTTCCACTCTTCGGCGGAGAAATAAACCGCGATGTCCACAAACGTAACCGGCATCTGCAAATTTAAAAAACAAACAAACAAAAAAAAACACAGATTCGCACTGGTGGCTTCAAAAAAAAAAAAAAAGTTAAGGCGGCTTTCGCACCCAAACCCTCAATCGGTCACCCCTTCCCGCCTGAAGTGAAACCGCGAATTGCAAACCGCCTCGGGGGGTTTTTCAAAACAAAATTAAAGAAAAATTAAGACTATCGGAGAATTGCCTTCCTAGCCGTAGTTTGGGGTTTTTTTTTAAAATGAATTTAAATTTTTTACTTTTTAATTTTTTTTAAAAAAAAAATATTTTTAATTTTTCTAAGTCCCTTTTTTTTCAAGATTAAAGATGGGTTTTTGTTGCTAAAATAAATAAATAAATAAATAAATAAATAAATAAATATCACTCAAAGGGGAAATTCATTGCAAATCCAATCATGACTGATAAGTAGAAACCCCCCCCCCCAAAATACATTTTGGTTTTTTTCTTTCCTAGCTTGTATTTTCATTTCTTTTTTAAAATTAAAATGTTTTTTTCTCTCTTTTTAAGATTAAAGAGTGTTTTGCCACTAAAAATGACGAAAAGTGACTTCATTGCAAATCCAGCGATGATTGATAAGTAATAAAAGATAAGATATATTTTTTAAAATTTTCCTTCCTAGTTTTATATTTTATTTTTTTAAGTTTCTTTTCTTTTTAAAACCAAAGTTTTTTTCCTCCTTTTAAGACTAAAGAGTGTTTTGCCATTAAAACATTACTAATAGTGAGTTCATTGCAAATTCAGTGACTGATAAATTAAAAAAATGAGATACATTTTTTAATTTTCTTTCTTAGTTTGTATTTTAACTTAGTTTCTTTTTTTAAAAAAATATTTCTTTTTAAGAGTAAAGAGTGTTTTGCCACTAAAAAAATGACTAAAACTTTATTTCAATCCAGCGACGATTGATCAGTAAAAAAAAGATACGTTTTCCTTCGTAGTTTATATTTTTTTAAAGTTTCTTTTCTTTTTAAAATGAGTTTTTCTTTTTACGATTAGTCTTCTGCCATTAAAAATGACTGAAAGTGACTTCGGTGGTAGTTGAGAAGTTAAAAAAAATGACACGTTTTTAAACTTTCCTCCCTAGTTTATATTTTAATTTTTTTGTAAAGTTTCTTTTCTTTTTTAAATTCAATCTTTTGAAGATTAAAGAGTGTTTTGTCACTAAAAAATTAAATTCACTGCAAATCTGGTGACAATTGATAAGTTAAAAAAATAAAAGATACCTTTTTTAACTTTCTTTCCTAGTTTGTATTTTAATTTTTTAAGTTTCTTTTTCCAAAAAAAAAATATTTTTTTTCTTTTTAAGATTAGTTTTGCCACTAAAAATTACTTCAGTGATGATTGATAAGTTAAAAAAATCAGACACATTTTTCAATTTCCCTTCCTAGTCTGTATTTTAATTTTTTTAAAGTGTTTTCTTTTTAAAATTAGTTTTTTTTCTCTTAAGGTTAAAGAGTTTTGCCACTCAAAAATTACTAAAAGTGAGTTCATTGAGACTCGAGTGAGGTTGATAAGTAAAAAAAAAAGATACTTTTCCCAGTTTTCCTACCTAGTTTATATTTTAATTTTTTAAAGTTTCTTTTTAAGTTTAAAGATTGTTTGGTTCCTAAAACATTACTAAAAGTGAATTAATTGATAATCCAGTAATGACTAATCAATGGAAAATATATTTTTTAAAAATGTTCCTTCCTAGTTTGTGTTTTAATTATTTTCTTTTCAGGATTAAAGATTGCTTTCTTACTAAAAAAAATCACTAACAATTTGGAAAGAATAGAATAAGAAATAGAATAGAATAGAATAGAACAGAAAATAAAATAGAATAGAAAATAGAATGGAATAGAATAGAACAGAATACAATACAATAAGAAATACAATAGAATAGAATAAGGAATAGAATAGAATAGAATACAACAGAAAATAAGATAGAATGGAAAATAGAATAGAATACAATAGAATAAGAAATATAATAGAATAGAATAAGGAATAGAATAGAGCAGAAAATAAGATAGAATGGAAAATAGAATACAATACAATACAATAGAATACAATAGAATAAGAAATACAATACAATGGAAAATAGAATAGAATAGAATGGAAACCAGAATAAAATAGGATAAGAAATAGAACAGAACTAGAATAAAACCAGAATAGAATGCAGAATAGAATAGAATACAGAATAGAATAGAATAGAATAAGAAATAGAATGGAATATAAAGAATAAAATACAGAATAGAATAGAATAGAATAAGAAATAGAATAGAATAAGAAATAGAATGGAATATAGAGAATAATAAAATACAGAATAGAATAGAATAAGAAATAGAATGGAATATAGAGAAGAGAATAATAAAATACAGAACAGAATAGAATAAGAATAGAATAAAAATAGAATAGACTAGAATAGAATAGAATAGCAGATATGGAAGGGCCTTGGGAGTTCTTCTAGTCTAGCCACAATGAATTCATTGGTAGTGATGATTGATCAGTAGAAAATATAAGGTATATTTTTTAATTTTCCTTCCTAGTTTATATTTGAATTTTTTAAAGTGTCTTTTCTTTTTAAGATTAGTTTGTTTTCTTACTTTTCTTACCCAAAAGTGAATTGATTAGAGAAATCCAGTGTCGATCGATAAGTAGGAAAATATGTTATTTCTTTTCTTTTCTTCCCTGTCGTTTTCATTTTTCTAAGTCCCTTTTTTAAGATCAAAGACTTAGAAGACTTACTAAAAAAATACTGAAAGTGAATTCACTGCAAACCCAGTGAGGATTGATAAAAGAGAAAAACAGAAAACCCATTTTTAAAATCTCCTTTTCTAGTTTGTCTTGAAAATATTAAAGATTAGAAATATTAAATTAAAACAATGTTAAAAACACAACAAGCCAAAAACAACAAGCTTGCGAGGTAGGTTGGCCCAAGAAAGAAGAGTCTTCCCATTGGAGCCCACCAAATCAGGTTGGGTCTCATCAAAAAGTTGAAGGACCTGATTTCCTAAGTCTCCAGATGTGTCGGGAGGACAACTGCTGTCCTACCCACGTTGGGGACACAATTATGGAAGTTCTGATCCCATCCCAACATCTAGAAGCCACCACAGTGGAGAGGATAAGTCCAGATCTAGCCCATTGTGGTTCCCTAACTCTCCAGATGTGTCGGGAGGACGATTGCTGTCCTACCCACGTTGGGGACAAAATTATGGAAGTTCTGATCCCATCCCAACATCTAGAAGCCACCACAGTGGAGAGGATAAGTCCAGATCTAGCCCATTGTGGTTCCCTAAGTCTCCAGATGTGTCGGGAGGACGATTGCTGTCCTACCCACGTTGGGGACACAATTATGGAAGTTCTGATCCCATCCCAACATCTAGAAGCCACCACAGTGGAGAGGATAAGTCCAGATCTAGCCCATTGTGGTTCCCTAAGTCTCCAGATGTGTCGGGAGGACGATTGCTGTCCTACCCACGTTGGGGACAAAATTATGGAAGTTCTGATCCCATCCCAACATCTAGAAGCCACCACAGTGGAGAGGATAAGTCCAGATCTAGCCCATTGTGGTTCCCTAACTCTCCAGATGTGTCGGGAGGACGATTGCTGTCCTACCCACATTGGGGACACAATTATGGAAGTTCTGATCCCATCCCAACATCTAGAAGCCACCACAGTGGAGAGGATAAGTCCAGATCTAGCCCATTGTGGTTCCCTAACTCTCCAGATGTGTCGGGAGGACGATTGCTGTCCTACCCACGTTGGGGACAAAATTATGGAAGTTCTGATCCCATCCCAACATCTAGAAGCCACCACAGTGGAGAGGATAAGTCCAGATCTAGCCCATTGTGGTTCCCTAAGTCTCCAGATGTGTCAGGAGGACGATTGCTGTCCTACCCATGTTGGGGACAATTATGGAAGTTCTGATCCCATCCCAACATCTAGAAGCCACCAGAGTGGAGAGGATAAGTCCAGATCTAGCCCATTGTGGTTCCCTAAGTCTCCAGATGTGTCAGGAGGACGATTGCTGTCCTACCCATGTTGGGGACACAATTATGGAAGTTCTGATCCCATCCCAACATCCAGAAGCCACCACAGTGGAGAAGATAAGTCCAGATCTAGCCCACTGTGGTTCCCTAAGTCTCCAGATGTGTCAGGAGGACGACTGCTGTCCTACCCACATTGGGGATACAATTATGGAAGTTCTGATCCCATCCCAACATCTAGAAGCCACCACAGTGGAGAAGACCAGATCTAGCCTATTGTGGTTCCTTCAGGAGAACCATCACCCATCCTTCTGAGGAACCAGCCTCTTCCTTTCCCAGCTTTCCTTGTTCCACACAAGATCCATCCCCCTTCCACCTTGAGGACCCCTGACCTTGGGGATCTCTCCCTTGGATCCCGGGGGCAGCCTCAGGACCCAGAAGTTGCGGTTCTTCAGAAGGTTCTCCATGTTCTCCAGCCTTCTCTGCAGGAGGCCGTATTCTTGAATGAGGGTGCCCAGGACGGCCCACTTGTTCTCCAGTTGGTTGCCGAACTCCATAGCTGTCTTCTCACAATCCAACAGTTTCTTCTCGGCCGTCCCTGATCGGCCTTCCAGGCTGAGCAGACGGGTGGCCAACAGGTCAATCTTCCTCTCCATGGCTTGGACGGTGGCCACCACGCTCCAGAGGGAGGCCTCGGCGGTGTGCAGTTGCGCTTCTCGCATGTGGCTCAGCTCGGGGACCAGCGGGGGCTGGAGAGGCATCAGATGTTGGGCCTCCACGTTCCATTCCTGGAGCTGGAGAAGACCAAGAGTGGAGATTGAGAAGCTACGTCAACCCTTGTCGAGCGGCCTTCACCGAGGAAACTTCAAGCTTACCACGGTGGCCTCAAAGTTACAACGGCGCCACAAAAAGGACCCTTTCTCACCCGTACGACCGTTGCAGCCTCTGCACGGTCACAAAACGAGACACTTGGCCACCGACTCGAATTTATGACGGACGCAAGGCCAGGTCGTTCCCCCTTTCGCGAGCTTCCAACCAGCAAGGTCAAGAGGGAAGCAGAGTCCCTTTAGCAAGCATCTTAGGAAAGTTAGCAAGCGTTTTCCTAAAATTAGGAACTGCAGGGATTCACTTAACGACATGGGAATAACGGACGTAAAACGGGGGCGAAACTCACCGAACAACGGTCGGGCTTACCGATGGGAAATTTGTGGTCCTAAGTGAAGTCAAGGACTTCACAACTGTGACAAGAGAGGCTGTAAAAGGGGGCAAAACCCACTTAACCCCCGTTTCACTTAGCGACGGTTATTCTGGGCTCAAAAAGTCGAGGACTCTCTGTATTTCAGCCCACCCGATTGAGGCCACCCTGCTCGGACCGACCGATTGGAACACGATCATAACCAAAGGGAGCGGACGCAAACTTGAGTTCATTTCCGCACTGCTTCATGAGGACTAGAAACCTGCATTAAATGGGGGAGCCATATATTTTAAAAAGCGGTAATATTCATGCCATTAAGAAATGTAATAGCAGGAATAAAACATACACACATACACTCCTATACAATTCAAATGGCTTTTTCGGCTTGGTATAAATTTCTACGGTATCATTCCGAGTTTACAAAAAGGGCTAAAATTAAATTTACTACACAGATACTACACGGCTAGTCCTCAACTTACAGCCATTTGTTTAGCGACCGTTGCCAGTTAGGTCGTAAAGCGAGGCGAAAATCGCTTAGCAACCGAAATGTCGGGTTCAGTTGTCGTCGTAAGCCAAGGACTATCTGTTTATCGGGAATATTTACGCAGCCGCTCTGCAGATGACCAAAGGGGGACTGGCATCGTCGGGGACTACAACTCCCAGAATTCCTCGGTCCAGGACAGAATGCTCTCTAGGAATGCTGGGAAATGGAGTCCCCAGAGGCCAGACAGTGCCAGCTTAGACAGGGGTCTTCAAACTTGGCACACTGGCTGAGGAATTCTGGGAGTTGAAGTCCCCAAGTCACAAAAGGGCCCAGTTTGAAGACCCCTGGCTTAAAGCATCCTAGTGGAGGAATTCTGGGAGTTGAAGTTCACCAATCATAAAAGGGCCAAGTTGGAAGACCCCTTGGTCTGGATCCAAGCCTGCAGCTTCATCAAAATGGCCGACTGAGGAATTCTGGGAGTTGAAGTCCACCAGTCATAAAAGGGCCAAGTATGAAGACGCCTGGTCTGGATCCAAGCCTGCAGCTTCATCAAAATGGCCGACTGAGGAATTCTGGGAGTTGAAGTCCACCAGTCATAAAAGGGCCAAATTGGAAGACCCCTGAGCTTAGAGAAGAGGCTGACTGAAAGACGGGGAGGGGGAAGGGGGCGTCTTCTTGTGAGACTGGCCTGCCCCGCAGGGTTGTTGTGATGGGAGGTCACATGATTGGCCAAGTCCCTCCCCCAGCACCCAGGTTTGCTCTAAGGAAGAGGGCCTGCCTCACAGGGGTGTCGCTGGCCAGGAGCATCTGGTGCTCCAAGCAGCCCCTGCGGGAGCTGCTGTTTCAAAAGAGGCGGGAGAGGGATCTACTGGATCCCCGGGAGTGGGAACAGTCCTGGGACGGGGGGGAAACCTCCTGGATCCCTGGGCAATGACTGTAGGGAGTCACTGGGGCTCCCTTGGTGGAGAGGCAGTCCAGGGGATCTCCTGGATCACTTGGCGTGGGGAGATGGGGAACCCCTCGATCACCTGAGGATCACCAATCATGAAGAAGGGGACCTGCTAGATCCCTTGGGGGAAGGGCCAGTCAGGGGAGGTCATGCAATCTCTGGGATGGGACAGGGAATCCTCTAGGCAGGGTGGGGGGAATCGCGAGGAAGGGGATCTACTGGATCCCTTGGGCCACGGAAATTGGGGATCGGGGCAGGCAGGGGAGAATCTACTAGACTCCCCCAAGAGCCAGGGGCAGTCAAGGGATCTACCAGATTCCTGAAGTGTGTGTGTGTGTGTGTGTGTGTGTGTGTGTGTGTGTTTGTGTGTGTGTGTGTGTGTGATTCTGCTTAATCTCCTGGGACTGGAGAACAGGGGAGATCTTGGGCCAGAGGGCAATCCTGGGGGAGGAGATAGCAGATCTCCTTGGGGGGCGAGGGGCAGTCAGGGGATACCCCAGAGTGTGAGAGTCAGGGGAAGAACGAACCCTGGATCCTCCCCCCCCCAAAGTAAAGAGGATCTTCTGGACCCATTGAGGCGGAGGGGGTGGCAGTCAGAGGGATCCCCTGAAGTGGGGCAGATAGGGGAGATGGGTCTACTGGCTCCACTGGGGGTGGGGAAGGCTGGAGGGGCACAAGAGATCCCCTAGAGTGGGACAGGGATCTCCCAGCTCCCCTGGAGACAGGGGAACTGGCTATTGGGGGGGGGCAGAAGGGGCACAAGAGATCCCCTGGAGTGGGATAGGGATCTGCTGGCTCACCTGGAGGCCAGGAGGGGCACAAGAGATTGCCTGGAGTGGGACAGGGATCTGCTGGCTCACCTGGAGGCCAGGAGGTTGGATCCCAGCAGGCAGAGGGGCACAAGAGATCACCTGGAGTGGGACAGGGATCTGCTGGCTCACCTGGGGACCAGGAGGCAGGATCCCGGGGGGGGGGGCAGAGGGGCACAAAAGATCCCCTGGAATGGGACAGGGATCTCCCAGCTACACCGGGGCCGGGGGTGGGTGGGATTGACTCCCAGAGGGGGCAGAGCAGCACAAGGGAATCCCCTGGAGTGGGACAGGGATCCCTCAGCTCCACTGGGGACCAGGAGACTGAATCCTTGGGGGGGGGGGCTAGAGGGGCTCAAGGGATCTCCTGGAGTGAGACAGGCATCTCCCGGCTCCACTGCAGGTGAGGGAGGGGGCTGGATCCGGGGGGGGGGGGTGCAGAGGGGGCACATGGAGTGGGGCAGCAAGGGAAGGGGAGGGATGTGATGGGGGGTGTTTGTGTGTGGGCAAAAGGAGGGGGAGGAGGGAAGCCCACCCCCCCTCCGGCCCCAAAACTCCCCCCCCTCCCATCCTCGCCATCTCCATCGCTGGGGAGGGGGGAGGGGGCTAAGGAAGCCCCCCACCCACCCAGCCTTTTCCCCTCCCTCCAAGAACCCCCCTCCCCCTCCTCCTCCAAGCCCCCCCACTCAGTCTTTCCCCCTCCCTCCTCCAAGCCCCCCTCCCTTCCGTCCTCCAAGCCCCCCCCTCAGCCTTTCTCTCCCTCCTCCAAGCTCCCCCTCCCCTCCCTCCTCCAAGGCCCCCCACCCAGCCTTTCCTCCTCCCTCCTCCAAGCTCCCCCTCCCCTCCCTCCTCCAAGCCCCCCACCCAGCCTTTCCCCCTCCCTCCTCCAAGTCCCCCTCCCTCCTCCAAGCCCCCCACTCAGCCTTTCCCCCTCCCTCCTCCAAGTCCCCCTCCCTCCTCCAAGCCCCCCCCCAGCCTTTCCCCCCTCCTCCTCCAAGTCCCCCTCCCTCCTCCAAGCCCCACTCAGCCTTTCCCTCTCCCTCCAAGCTTGCCCTCCCCTCCCTCCTCCGCCCCCCCAGTTTTTCTGCTCTCCCTCTCCAAGCCCCCCCCTTCCTCCAAGCCCCCCCCAGCCTTTCCCCTCCCTCCTCCAAGCCCCCCCCCTCCCTCCTCCAAGCCCCCCACCCAGCCTTTCCCCCTCCCTCCTCCAAGCCCCCCCACCCAGCCTTTCCCCCTCCCTCTTCCAAGCCCCCCCACCCAGCCTTCCTCCCTCCCTCCTCCTCCAAGCCCCCCCCTCCCCTCCCCACTCCAGCCGGCCCGATCCTGCTCCGGGGACCCCCACCCACCCATCCACCCACCCTGCGATCCAGCTGCCGGGCCTGCTGGGCGCCCCCCGGCCCGTGCGTGTGTGGTGTGAGTGTGGGGGGGTTGTGAGTGTGGGCTGGGGGGGGTCTCTCTCTCACCTGGGCGGGGGCCCACTCCGCCATGGCGGCGCTGGGGCGGGGGGCGGCGCGGCTGGGGAGGGGGCGCCGGGGCCGGGCGGGGCGGCGGCGGCGGCGGCTGCACGGCCAGGAAGCCTCGGGCGCTGCTGGATCCTCGCCGGGAGGCGCCCCCTGCAGGGCGGAGGAGGCACCGCCGCGCCCTCCGCCCCGCCCCGGCCCGGCCCGGCCCGGGACCTTCGACGCAACGGCCCCCCCCCCGTCTCCACCACCACGCACCGCCCGGGATCCCGTTCCCACGTGCTGACGACGGACACGTGTCCAATGGAGGCCCCGAGGCAGCCTGAGCAGCAAGAGATCTGCCCCTGGGTCACCCGTCCACCCCCCCCGTGGTTTGGTCGGACACGTGTCTTGCAACGCGGAGGATGCTCCTTCACACGTGCTTCGGACGGACACGTGTGTTGCAAGCTTCCCAACACTGAGAATGCTCCTTCACACGTGTTTCGGCCGGACACGTGTATTGCAACCTTTCCAAGGCTGAGCATGCTCCTTCACACCGGCTTTGGAGGGACACGGGTATTGCAACACTGAGGATGCTCCTTCACACGTGCTTCGGCGGGACACGTGTATTGCAAGCTTCCCAAGGCTGAGCGTGCTCCTTGACACGGGCTTTGGACGGACACGTTTATTGCAACGAGGAGGGTCCTCCTTCAGACGTGCTTCGAATGGACACGGGTATTGCAAGCTTACCAACACGGAGAATGCTCCTTCACACGTGTTTCGGCCAGACACATGTACTGCAACCTTTCCAAGGCTGAGGGTGCGGGGCTTTGGAATGACATGTGTATTGCAAGCTTCCCAAGGCTGAGGGTGCTCCTTCACAGGTGCTTCGGACAGACACGTGTATTGCACCGCTGGGGGTGCTCCTTCACACGTGCTTCAGACAGACACGTGTATTGCAAGCTTCCCAAGGCTGAGCATGCTCCCTCACATGTGCTTCGGATAGACACATGTATTGCAACACTGAGGATGCTCCTTCACACGTGCTTCAGACCGACACATGTATTGCAAGTTTCCCAAGGCTGAGCATGCTCCTTCACACGTGCTTCGGACGGACACATGTATTGAAAGCTTCCCAATGCGGAGGATGCTCCTTCACACATGCTTTGGACGGACACGTGCATTGCAAGCTTCCCAAGGCTGAGCGTGCTCCTTCACACATGCTTCAGACGGACACGTGTACTGCAAGCTTCCCAACATGGAGGATGCTTCTTCACATGTGTTTTGGACGGACACGTGTATTGCAAGCTTCCCAACGCGGAGGATGCTTCTTCACACGTGCTTTGGCCATGTCCCCATGGATGCTCTGTCACATGTTCTTTGGAGGGACACGTGTACTGCATGCATGCCAACCTCGAGGATGCTTGTTCACACGTGCTTTGCATGAACACGTGTGTACTGCAGGCCCCGGGCCCGATGCAGCCTGAGGTTTTGGTATTCTGCCTTCCCAGCCAAGCGGACTCCAGGGGCTAGGATCTCCCCTTGGTCACCCATCCCAACCCTCAGGGATGCTCCTTCACATGTACTTTGGATGGACACGTGTATTGCAAGCATCCCAACCCGGAGGGTGCTCCTTCACATGTGCTTTGGATACACATGTGTCCTGGAAGCCCTGGGCCCCATGCAGTCTGATGAGCTGGCGTTTTCCCTCCCAGGAGCAAGGATCTCCTCTTGGTCCCCCATCCCTGTCCCGAGGAGATTGCTTCACATGTGCTTGGGCCGAACATGTGTCCTGGAGGCCCTAGGGCCCCCGTCCAAACCCCAAGGAGGCTGCTTCACATGTGTTTTGGATGGACACGTGTATTAGAAGCCATAGGCTCCCTGCAACTTGATCTGGGATTCTGCCTCCCAGGAGCGAGGATCTCCACTTGGTCCCCCATCCCAGCCTCGAGGAGGCGGTTTCACACATGCTTTGGCTGGACACGTGTCCTAGAAAGCCTAGGATCTGGGCACTGTAACCCTGTTGACCTGTGCCAGGCTGTCTTCCTCTTTTGGGCCAAGTCCGATTCCATCGAGGATCTCCTCATGGTGCCCCATCCCGGCTCCAAGAAGGCTGCTTCATGCTTTGGATGGACAAGTGTATTGAAAGCCTTAGGCCCGATGCAGCTTGAGTACAGCTAGTCCTTCACTTACAGCAGTCCATTTAGTGACCGTTCGAACTTACCATGGCAGGGAAAAAAGGGACTTAGCACCGTATTTCGCACTCACGACCGTCACAGCGTGCTCACACGGTCAAAATTCAGACGCTTGACCAGTGGCTCCTATTTATGATGGCTGCAGGGTCCTGGGGGAGGGTTCAAGTGATCCCCTACAGGCTTTGATCCAGGCCAGGGGTCTTCAAATTTGGCTCTGTTATGACTGGTGGACTTCAACTCCCAGAATTCCTCAGCCATGCACGCTGGCTGAGGAATTCTGGGAGTTGAACTCCACCAGTCATAAAAGGGCCACATTTGAAGACCCCCTGAGAGTCTGGATGCAAGCCTGCACTTTCATCAAACTGGCCAACTGAGGAATCCTGGGAATTGAAGTCCACCAGTCATAAAAGGGCCAAGTTGGAAGACCCCCTGAGAGTCTGGATCTAAGCCTGCAGTTTTATCAAAATGGCCGACTGAGGAATTCTGGGAGTTGAAGTCCACCAGTCATAAAAGGGCCAAGTCGGAAGACCCTTGAGAGTCTGGATCCAAGCCCGCAGTTTCATCAAAATGGCCGACTGAGGAATTCTGGGAGTTGAAGTCCACCAGTCATAAAAGGGCCAAGTTTGAACACCCCTGAGAGTATAGATCCAAGCCTGCAGTTTCATCAAAATGGCCGACTGAGGAATCCTGGGAGTTGAAGTCCTCCAGTCATAAAAGGGCAAAGATGGAAGACCAGGTCTGGTTCCAAACCACCAGTTCCATCAAAATGGCCGACTGAGGAATCCTGGGAGTTGATGTCCACCAGTCATAAAAGGGACAATTTTGAAGACCCCTGAATTAAATCCCTGCAGTGATTCACTTAACTGTGGTAAGGAAGGTCGTAAAATGGGGCCAAACTCACTGAGCAATAGAAACTTTGGTCTCAATTGTTGTCGTAGGTTGAGGACAATCTGAAGCTGGAGATCTCCCTTCCCAGACCTCCCCCTCTGAGGATTTCCTGGTGGTGCCCCGTCCCGGCAGCCAGCTTGGACTTTTTCCCACCTATTTCACAGCCAGGAGACGCAGGTTGGTGTCTTCCTGCCTGCCTCCGGACTGCTTTTGAATCCGCCTCCTAGCCGCTATCCCAGGATTTCCTGGTGGTGCCCCATCCGACGCCCAGCCGCGTCCTTGGGTCTTCTTCCAGCCAAGTCGATTCGGAAGAGGCTCTCCTCTTATTCCCCCATCCCAGCTCCAAGTTTTGTCTGTATCTCACGCCTTTTGTCAGCCAGGACATGAAGTGGGTTACTCCTAGACTGTATCCCAGGATTTCCTAGTGGTGCCCCATCCGACTCCCAGGCACATCCTGGATCTTCTTCCAGCCAAATCGATTCGGGGGAGGCTCTCCTCTTGGTCCCCCATCCCAGCTCCAAGCTTTGTCTTTATCTCCTTTCCTCAGCCAGTACATGAAGTGGGTTACTCCTAGACTGTATCCCAGGATTTCCTAGTGGTGCTCCATCCAACTCCCAGGCGCATCCTTGGGTCTTCTTTCAGCCAAGTCGATTTGGGAGAGGCTCTCCTCTTGGTCCCCCATCCCAACTGCAAGCTTTGTCTTTATCTCCTTTCCTCTGCCAGAACATGCAAGTGGGCTACTCCTAGATTTTACCCCGGGATTTCCTGGTGGTGCCCCATCCGATGCCCAGCCATGTGTGAAACCCACACACCCACTCAGCTCCCTGCTTCGCACACGCATTGGGGGAGCAAAGCTAGTTTGTCTCGGCTTGATTGAACCTCACCTCGGTTTTCCCAGCCAAGTCGACCCGGGCAAGGATCTCCTCTTGGTCTCCCATTCCTGTTCCAAACATTGCTTTTTTTTCTGACCCCTTTCTTTGCCCAGCCAGGTGATGCAGGTGAGTTTACTCCTGCCTCCTTCTGGGCTCTTTTCGACTCCCTATTCTAACCTTTACTGTAGCCTTTCCTGGTGGTGCCCCATCCAATTCCCAGCCAAATCCGTTGTATGAAATTAACCTCGCCCATGGACGCTTCACACGTGCTTTGGCCGCTCCCATGTGTTGGGGACAAAATGATCCCACCACGGCCCAGTGAAACTCCAGGGTGTTTTCTCCCTTCCCAGCCAAATCTACGGCCTAAGGATTTCCTGGTGGTGTCCCATCCCACCTCACTTGTTGCTTTTTCCAACTCGTTTTACGTTTTTTTTTTCTTCTTCCCATTTTTGAACCTCACCTCTCCCTCAACAGAGACACAAGGGGGCACCCTCCTTTCTTCTTCTTCCTCTTGCTTTCAAGTTTATAGCCCTGAGTTTTCCTAGTGGTGCCCCATCCAACGTCCAGCCGCATCTTTACAACTTCTGCGAAATCCATTCTTCCACTGAGTTTCACAGCTGGGTGTCTTTCGCGGGAACGCTGCAACCTGGCTAGGCTACAGCTGTTTCCGGTGTTTCTCTCACACCCAGTGTTTGCACACGTGTGTTCCGCATGACCGATCACGCAACCCGCTTGCTGCTTCTCCAAGGAACGGATCCTGCAAACAACCTGCTTTATCTGGCAGTTTGAGATGGGGGGGGGCTGATCGGATTTTGCTGCCTCTGTCGGGAGCGTGATTGTAGTCGGATATTTATTAATATTGATAAATATTAAAAATTAATATTTTCTATCCACTGTGGATAGAAAAGAAAAGCCGGAGAAATGAGATTTTTTTTCCCTTCCAAGCTCAGCGGCTGAGCTTCACCGATGCCTCTCTTAGTAACGCTAAAAAAATGGCTTCCATCCTCTTATAGATTTTTTTGAGACCCCTGACTCTTCATTCAGAGACCGAGGATCGCCGAGTGGTCTCCCGTCCCAGCCAACCCGGATTCACCGTGCTGCATTTCGTGAGATTGC